TCACACAAAATTACAGTTTTTACTGTTTTTTTGATCAAATAAATGCAGCATTGGTAAGCATAAGACACTTCTTTTAAAAACCCTAAAAAAGAAATATTGCTGACCTCAAATTTTTTAACGATAAAGTACATCAATGAATATATTCAACGTGAGCACTAGCATCATTACTAAAATCTTCATTTATTCTCACAGATGCATTCGACCGTGAATACAAAATGGCATATGACCGTTTGACACCCAGCCAGGTCAAAATGACCCACAATTGTGACCGGCCACCCAGCGCTGGAGTCATGGAGTGCAGGAGAACCTTTGGGCTGCCCAATCTGTGATTCGCCTCCTCTCATTCGTCCCTCCTTCCTCACATCCATCACACAGGAAGGCATCCTAGATGTCCAAGGCCCATCCAAAGAAGCAACTCTTTCATTCATGCGATCCTGAACATTCATCGTTACTAAAGCTACCTCTGGTTCCCATGAGGACTCCTTCGAAACCGTTCCTGTCTGCCTATGTGACTGTTGTTCTTCATACACTTCCTGTGAATATGCCACCTTATTATGTCTATGATAATGTTCATTACCTTATATTCCCCCTTCACTTTTGCTCTGCCTAATGTCTTGACCCTCGACCCCCTTTGGAAGCTTTGGGTCATATTCGAATCGTCTAGCACCGCTCAGGTAAACTTGAGTTCAGAGGTCATTGTAGATTAGGAGCAATATCATTGTGCTCAGGTCATTCCATCGCTCCATTCGTTCACGTTGAGTGAATCATGGAGTGGATTCGGGACCAGTAGCTGTAGAACAATCAAACTGATCACGTTTAGGACGCGTAGAAGCACAATGAGCGACCCCAACAAACACAGTCCTCTTTTGGCCGTCTAGCGGCACTTGTATATTTCACATACAAAGAGACTTTTGTGTACATAGTCTATTATTATTTTGAATATTTGTATTATACAGTTATATTTTAAGACTGGAATTTGTTAATTGACGTGTCTCCATTTGTAAAGACTGTTCGTAGTGTATAGGTTCCTCTTTTGAGCGTGTGCTGTTTGTCGTCCTGGTCCTGGAGACCAGTCGTATGGTGACCGTCAGTGACACTGTTGTCTTGAGGTACAGAACTGGACCAATTATAAACTCATGACTCACAGTTTACATGGTTTGATGAGATTTTTGACCTAAAAAAAATGCCTTACCTTGGGGCAAAGAACAGTACGGAGACAAATTTCCAACAGGGTATAAAGAGTTATATGGCTAGTATAAAAGCAAAAATGGACTGTTAATATAAATATGAAGTCAGCATTTTACACACATTCATGTTTGCCATGAAGGTACACCATTTGTTTGTTTTAAATATTGCTTTATATTGTTCAAGGATGCATAAACATGGGTCCCCGTTGTCAAGCTCCATAAAACAAAGTACCTGAAGCATACAAGCACTTATTTTTACTCAGTTAACTCTTTCCAAATTTAATATTGTAACTGGAACTATTATATTTTAATACTGTTCATTTTTTTTATCATAATGTTAATTGAAGATGCACTTTGAGTTGTATGATGGTTGGTAAGAAGATTTCTCAAGTTTAAATGCTCCTAACAAGCGCAGTGGATTATGGAATAAAGAATTATACATGTAATTATACACAATGACATATTGATGTTAATGCCTCAAGTGAACAAACAAACAAACAAACAAACAGATAATACTGCCCTAATAACTTTGTTTATTGACCTGATGCTGTGTAAAACTACAAAAATGTACAATTTTACGCTGCTGTTAATATTTTAGCAGTTTTTCTATCACCTGCTTTTTACATTCATATGGCATGGTAGTGAAACAAACAAACCTATTTCATGACAAGCTACAGTAATTTAAAGCAGTTAATGTGTAAGGTGATATGTTTTGTTTGTTTTTTAACAATCATTTTATGTTAGGGCAGTGTGCTTTACATATCACTCCTTTTGTTACTTCTATTTATATTTGTATATATCATTTTGTCAGATCTGAGCCAGGTCTATCAAATTGTTTAGAACTGTAAATAAACACACTTAAATCGACTCCAGTATGTTTTTGTTGCTGCCACTGGTTTGTTCAATGAAAGAGAGGGACGGAAAGTCGCATTTGAAACCCCATTTAATTTTGTACTGACCCAACAAGTGAATATTTACAAAGAGCAACTCACAAGAGAGAAATCGACACAATGTGCGACATTCGAAAAGAACAATCATTCCCTCTGTTCAGTACTGTTCAAACAGCAGCGTGACATTTGTATGGAAATTCACAACTGTTTATATCAGTCATTCTGATTACGTTAGAATTTGTAAAGAAGTATGGTTATATGCTTGAGATTCTACTTTTATGATGGAAAAAATCATATTTTACATACAGCACAACATCTGCATTTAAAATGCTTGCTAATGACAATTTTCCATGTTACAAAAATAATTCCATTGCAAAATGATTAAATTACATCATTTACAATAAGCTCACAATTTCTCCCAATGTGGTGAATTCTGCAGACACTTTAAAAATAATAACTCACCCATAGCTAGCTGAAAACACACATCAAATACAATAACAATACAAAGTTTAACAAAACAATTTGGAAACTTGTTCTTTGTTGTAAAAAGCAATTTTTCATAATTGGACAAAATTATAGGCGTAATTTGAGACTGGTGGGACATGTCCCCAGCCATTTTTTCCAGGGTCAATATTGTCCCCATCACTTTTTGAAACATCTTGTACCTAATAAAAAAGAAACATCTCCAGTTGATTAGCAATTTGTTCGTTTGTGTTAAATAAGGTGCGATCTGGCGCTCTCGGATTTCATCAAAAATATCTTAATTTGTGTTCCTAAGATGAACGAAGGTCTTACGGATTTGGAACGGCGTGAGGGTGAGTAATTAATGACAGAATTTATATTTTTGGGTGAAATAACAAAACAAAATGCACACAAACATGCTGTTGATTTACAATCACTGATGAGCATCTTTGTTTTTAATGAGAGAGAAAAAATAAAATGAACGGGCGGATTAGAACCCAGAACCTCTGGCACCCTTAAATGGTTAGTTCACCCAAAAATTAGAATTCTTTCATTAATTAATTAATTGCACACACTCATGTCGTTCCAAACCCGTAAGACTATCGTTCATCTTCAGAACAAAATTGAAAATCTTTTTGATGAAATCTAAGAGCTTTCTGTCTCTCCAACGCTCTGCAACTTTGATGCTTCAAATTTTCATAAAGAGATATAAATTAAGCGGTTTAATCCAAAATTTTCTGAAGAGACTATAAACGCGTTATATGATGAACAGATTGAATTTAGGCTTTTAGTCATATAAACATTCATCAACTCACACATCCGTTATGGTAAGCAGAAGCTCAAACATGTTCGCTAGACGAGTGAGAACCAATGAGGTTCATTCTCGTGTGTGACACAGCACGTTTGAGCTTGTGCGTCAAGCAGGTTCGGTTGAGCTTCTGTTCATGTTCGATGATCAATGATTATATGAATAAAAGCCTAAATTAAATATGTTCATCATATAAAGCAACCCGTGTCTCTTCAGAAAATTTTGACTAAACTTCTCGATATGCCTAACATATGTATTAGTTTTACGATCTCTTTATGAACTTTTTTGAAACATCAGAGTGGTAGTTGCGTAGCTGTCTATGGAGAGACAGAAATCTCTCATATTTAATCAAAAAGATCTTCATTTGTGTTCTAAAGATAAACTAAATTATTGCGGGTTTGGAACGACATGAGGACGAGTAATTAATGACAGAATTTTAATTTTTGGGTGAACTATCCCTTTAACAAAGGGACAACTATCCCTTTAACCACAAGTCATTCAATACAGATCTATGTATTTATTGACTAATGTAAATACGCTCCAGATTAACAACATATAGTAGATGTAAGGATGAAAATATCACATTAAACATGAGTTCTAACGCGAGTAAACTCGATCCCTGTTTCACAGATAAGGCTTAAGCCTAGTCCCAGACTAAAATGCATGTTGCTGTTTTAACTGAAAGCAACTTGCACTGATGTATCTTAAAATATGTCAGTTCCATTGTTCTGCTGTCTCAAGATGCAAACCAGTAATGTTTTTTTTTTTTCAAAGACATGTTTAAAGCTATAAATATCCTAATTGAACTATGGCCTAATCCTGGCTTAATCTAAACCCTGTTTGTGACACCACGCCTCAATGTAACACCTACTGACATTTCTCGACATAATGCTATTTTTTGTGCATTTATTATTGTACATTTCTGATGTAGCTAACCAGTGATTGTGTATGTCGCCACGGTCAAATACAGTTGTCAGTTCTGTATTTGAGATCTTAATACGGTTCAGTTCACACACCGTTCAGTTATTTACGGGAGTGAGTCGTGACAACCGCTTTCTATAACCGAACTCACACCAAATTTTCAGGACTCACAACAACCGCATATTCTCGGAAATCCCACGCGCTGTGTAAACAGAACCGGACTCGTCATACGGTGTGAGAGCGCCGCTCACAAACGTCGTGTTGCGGGTTTTCATATGTGGTTTCGATGAGAAATTAGCTGCGAATGTGTCATTGCAGGTTTTAGATCAGTCACTGATCTAGCTCCACCGGTCGGAGCTGCTCCCGTAAGTTTTGTGTTCAACGCGCGACCACACAGATATAGAACTCGCGGCTCGATTGGACTAATGTCGTATCAAAGTTGATAAGACTTTTCAGTTTTATGGACGTCGCCATCTTATCTTTGATATTCTACTTTGGTCACTCTCGCTATGGTCACTGGTAAGATCATTTGGGCTTGTCTCTCGTTGCAAGTTGTAGTTTTAACGGGACATTTCGAGACTCATACCTGTAAGGAAATGCGGTTGTCATTCACAAAAATTGACAGTGTGAACATATGTTTTGCATGCATGCCTTGGTATAATCCCAATAGAAAAAAATGTTTGAATTTAAGCATCGATTTTCACAAATCATCAAGTGAGAATATAAGAAAACTTTTGGCTACTTTGTGGCCCTGTCTCGATTGGAACACTTCTGTGGCCTTTGATTATGCAATCATAATCATCATAGTGTGTTTATCAAGTCCACAGGGCAGTAGGGTGTCTTATTTGTCATTTTACAGTTCAAAGGGGTGCTCAAGTGTGCCTCTGTATGTGGCCTTAATGTGCCCTTTTGCAAAGCCCAGACTGGTGGGCCCACATGCAGTCTGCAGCCACCAATCCATATGGCATTACGTCACTAAAGTGTGGATGCCACAAATGGTGACCATTTGGGACAGGACCTGTGACTTTTCTGACATTACTGCATTCATTTTAACACAAGCTAAAAAGAAAAGTGTTACCAGTTTTTGTTGCATCCCTTTACAAAAGATCTTGCGTAATACAGAATAAGTCAACACAGCGTGTCCAGGTATGCTTTAAATGTGATATACTATATGCAAAGTTATAGTTCAGAACGTTTCGAATGACAGGATTGTATCCTCATGGACGTGAGTGAACATTAAGGTGTATGAAAACCACAGGTGTGCTCAGATGGACACGGGACATACAATGATTCGATCCTCTAGCATGACACTGAGCACCAGGAATACAAAGTACAGGATGAACATGGTGAATCCCAACACTTTATTCATCCTCCACTTACAGGCAGCGATGGAGATAATGACGAAGAGGAGCATGAGGAAGAGCAGCACAATGGCACAGAATAGCCCATTACTACTCACAGTCACTGGGGCAAATGAATGGTAGAACGAGAACATCAGCCAGGGCACCGGCAGCCTGTAACAGTGAGAGGTGATATATATTTAAGCAATAAAACACATTCGGTATGTATTCGATTGCAACAATGCGATTGCAAGTGCGCTATTGCAAAATAAACAATAGTTCAAAAACAGGTTAATTTACATTTTAGACACAATATTGCCAGATACTTTTTTGTCTATTTTGCTGGGCCATTTTAGTTCCAAACAAAGTCACTTCAGAAACAATTGCACGTCTCTGAGCAGCCGTTTGTTGATTAATTAACGAATCAGAGTTAATGATTCAATAACTCACCCATAAAGACAGTTACTTGTTTTGTTCTTAAATAAATTGGTTTCTATTGAACAAATCAAATGATTCAAAGACTCACTCAATAAAACACAGGGCCTGTCCCAATGCTACACTTGTGGTCTTTGCACTTCCTTCAAAATTAGCTGAATGAAGGTTGCAAAATGAAGGCTGCCTTCCAAGGATCCTTAAAACGGAGACAGCCTTTGACCACACTTGATGACGTGGCATCCGAGATATGCAGTCTTTCTAGGACGCAGCCTTCCATTTGAAAAACACCCTACCTCTTTGCCATTTTTCCAACCAGGGGCAGTCTTGCGCACTTACTTCCTGTCATGTGCACGCATTTTAAAGTGGCCAAGAAGACCGCAAGTGTGGGTATTAGGACTGCTCTACTTTTAGACCACATACACTTGCAAACTTCCCTAAGCACTTTCCCTCGGGGTAATCCCCGCCATCTGGTGGACGAGGGAAGTTTTTTTGGACAAACCCTCGACCCCTCGATTTTGACAGAGTGAGTGAGTGAGTGAGTGAGTCTACTTAACATGTACATTTCAGGCAGATCCATGGACCACAATGCACTATGATTGTGACATCACAGCAGATCGTGCTAAAGTTTAAATATTAATTTTTGAACACCCCGTACAGGCCTATAGAATGGTGCATAAAACAAATTCATAAGGGAAAAAAAACTGTAAATAATAAATCATTTCCATGGCAGATTCCAAGTGATCATGGGCTTAGGGTGTTTAATTTAAACACATTTCAAGGGTTCCGCCAGTAGTGGGCTCTCGTGCAAAACGTTAGCAATGACGTACATCCGAGGGAACTAGACTAAACTATCAAACACCTGATTCACTGAATATTTAATGTTTCAGTCATCTTACCCCATGGTGATGTCAAATATGTTGCTGCCTACAGAGCTGGAGACAGCCATGTCTCCCAAGCCTTTTCGAGCCACAATCACACTGGTGATTAGATCAGGAATTGATGTTCCTGCGGCCAGAATGGTAAGACCCATGATCTCCTCAGATATGCCAATTGTCTCACCCACCTAGGAGAGAAAATCTTGATAAATGCTGACTTTTTAATGTTATATTTAAGTGTAGCATAAGTGTCCAAATACATTTTAGCAACAAATATTGGTTTCTACACTGACCTGATGTGCCCACCACACCATAAGATAGGAAAATATAGCAATCCATACTATTGAGCCAAGGAAGGTAATGACAAAGAACCTCTTGGATGCCTGTGAAGCACAATATACAAGAATATACATGTCAGTTCTATCACATGTGAACAAGTGGAACAAGTATACAAGAACAACATGTGATGTTTTCTTTTGGTTCTCACGGGGTTTCTGACATCTGGGACTGTCAGCCACAGTGGAAAGACAATGGGCAACAGAAACAAATATGTGGCCTGTTTGCGTCTGGTGTCTGGCCACTCTAAGGACAGAGGTTCTTCTCCTTCTTCCTCAGCCTCATCTTCATTTTCATCATCATCATCATCACTGTCTTCATCGCTCTCTTCATCACTGTCATCTTCCTCATCATCCTCTGAATCATCTGAACCTCCTGGCTTCTCTGAGCCTCCTTCTGCTGCAGCGTTTCCTTCCTTAACACAGAGCGAGAAAGAGACAGGCAAAAAACATAATACCCTCACAGAAAATAAAGAATTAGGAGAACAAAGTAATAGTTCACCCAAAAATTTGTTTTATCATCATTTACTTGCACTCAATTTTGTCCAAACCAGTAGGACCCTCTTTCTTCTGTGGAACACAGACGGCTCGCTCTTTTCCATGCAATTATAATAAATAGGGACCACCAGAGCTTTCAAGCTTCAAAAAGTATGCAAAAACACAATAAAAGCATTATAAAAGTAGCTATTTAATCTAATTCAAGATAATCTTTAGCTCCAGTGAGCTGCTAACCCAAAAACTGCTATGACTGAGTCTGAGAGTTGAACTTAAGACGAGAACCAGATTGGTCCGAATTGTGAATGAATCATTCAGACCAGTTTTGGGAACTGAATGAATTGATTTATCAAAAAATCTGTCTAAAAATAATGATTAGGATATGAAGTAGCCATTTATATTTCTCTTCTAAACACATCATGGAGAATAACACCATTAAATGAATGGTGCTTTTCTGTCCTTTTTTTAAACTTGAAAGCTCAAGTTCTTCAAAGCTTTTCCGTTTGTATTCCACGGAGGAAAGGAAGTCATGATATGAGGGTGAGTAAATGACAAAGGCTTTTCATTTCTGGGTGAATTATACCTTAAATATGAATCACATACTTTGTTTGACATATCGTCCCTGTCAGCTTTACAACAAGGTAAAGAATTGATAAGCTCATTAAAAGCACACATGTTTCTCAGAGCTCCTATTTCTTCTTCCAAACTTTTTTTGAGATGCAATTGGCCCACCTTTTGTGCCTCAGGCTTTTGACTGGCGTCTTCTTCCTTGGCTCCTGGAGCCGCGTCTTCCTTGGGCTGCTCCATTTGACCTTCACCTTATTTAAACCAGGACAGTAAAATATCAATCAAGTTTGCATTTACTTCTTAAAGGCAGCAATACTACAAGCTCCTCTCAGGTGTGGAGTGAAGATTTCCTCAATAGGAGTGAGTAATGTTGCTATTTGATTTGGCGGCAATTTCAAACACCACAGTTGCTTCACAAGATAATCTGCAGTGATTCCAAGCCACTCATGCTTAATTCATGAGATGGAGCTTGGTCATTATGTCAGCTAATGTGTAAAGCAGCTCTCAAGTAGAAACAAAAGGTGGAAATATGGAATGCGGGATGCTGTGTGGAGGGCAAAACGGGCCAAACTCTTGGCAGCGTGCCCTCTCTTTGTACCTTTCATCCAGCACACAGCTGGTACGTTACTGCTTGTGGAAATGCAACATTAATAACCATTTTGAATATGCAACAGAGCTCATCTGTGAGGTAGGACAATGCACCGTCCTGTCTACAAAGGTCTGTGCAATCATAATAGAACAGACTAAGATTATAAAATCTCACCTTCACCAGATTTTTCCTTCTTTTTGTTCTCTACCTTCCCCCGGGCCATGTCGTTCAAAATCTGAGCCTTGTCTTTAAATTTCACTGCAAACCAGGGAAGGAAGAATATAGCTTGAATGTAGACTTTGACTGACACTGTCAGGGTCAACAATGGCAGTACCACAAATGACAAAAGCCCTAATTTCACAAACGCAATACAAAACGTCATTTTTCTCACGTCATCTCACTGGATACAACAAAAAAGCAATCACATCACAAGAATAACATCACAAACACTAAGCCCCTTACCTTTACATCCCAAAGAGCTTCTAGCCTTTGCATCTCCATTAAACACTGACTCTAATGAGTAAAAGTAGATTCATATACAATAAATACCATGGTGAGTTTTACAAATGCATCTTCAAATGCCCTTCAAAACTACTCATGTATGCACTGACTTGGATACCAGCAAGCGCCATCGTTAAATGTTAAAAGTTCATAATTGGATTTATTTAAAGAAAAATGTGGACAGGTCAAAGTATAAATGCATAAGTGTGAATTTCATGAAAAATATTAAGAAATGTTTGGGTCATCAAGCCTGAATTCTTGAATTATGACATTATTTTTTGGAACAAATTATTTCACAATCCATAGTCTTTATATATATGTAAATATATATTATTTGATATATTTATATTTAGAGATTGTTGATTGTTATTGTCTGGTTTATGTTCTGTTGTGTGCTCTTACATTCTGTTGTTTCCTTTTGTTCCTTTTTCTCTGCTGTTTAGTTTCAGTTACCCTGGTTACTCACTGGTTTGTTTCTATGATTTCTTATGATTTGCACCTGTGTCTCGTTTAGTTCTCAGTGTATTTATACTCCCTGTTTGGTTTTGTCTTTTGTCGGTTATCATCTTTGTTTTATGTGTGAATTATGTGTTTGCTCCTGTGTTCTCCTGTGGACTCCGAGTGTCGATTAAAGAACTGAGGGGGCATTACTTTACACGACACCATTTTCAACAAAAAAACTGAAAACGTTTTGTATTCGTTTTGTCCGTTCATTTACACGACAACAGTGTTTTTGGGGCCTGAAAATGCTAACTTTTAAAAATCAGTTTCAAAGTGAAACGATAGCGTTATCATCATTTGTGAAAACGGTGACGTCATGCGCATGTGTATGACGTGTTCAGTCTATTGGTGCGTAGTGTTTTTTTGCAAAGTGACATCGCCAACTACTAGCCTGAACGCATGATACAGCGTTTTTAGTCGTTTCAACGATTTGTGTGAACGGGGATCGTTTTGAGAACGTTGATGTCTGTAAAAACGTTTCAGTTTTTGTTATCTAAAGTTTCTGCATCACGCGTCTTGGATTACTACACATAATGTGACCGTTTGTGCTGTATACTCTATGCTATTTTGAGAGCACGCAGCGTATGCATTTTGAGATTTTGAGGGGGGTTTTTTTCATGAAGAATCTGAAATCGAGAAAATCTAATTCTCACCAATAGGCTTTATTTCTTAAAGAAATAAAAGTTATTTTTGGGGTGAAATGAGACCCAGACATTCCTTTGTGAAATTTAAATGACTGACATGCAGAGGATATAGAATATATTAAAGAAGTGCAATTAAGGTGCTTTTAAACTAGATGTTAAGTGCTTGTCAGTTATTTATCAACCCAAATGTAGATACGCACTAATGAACCTTTAAATTTATCTCATTGACTACAGCAAGGACCCTATCACAATAACAGGATTGAGCTGCTGGAGGCTGTTTCTCATTCAACCTTTATGAGCTCAATCAAAAGCAGCTTAATGATGGAGCAACACAGTACTGGGAGGTTTTTGTGAGGACCCTGAGAGTGCAGGTGTTCCGCAGCCTCCTGAGGACAGGCTGAAGGTCAAGGGGACCAACCCCAGCCATCAAACCACTGACCCACCGGGACCTCAGCACCAGGGAGAACCCATGTGCAATGCGAAAATAATATAGTGTATGTTTAAATGGTGACATATACATTGATGTGACTTGACAAAATGTCATATAGCCACTGCGGTGGGCCCATCCCTTGTCTCACTACTATGAATCACTCTCCACTCCATAGACTGAGAAAGAGCTATTTATCTTCTTAGTATCAATCTGGATTTAGTGCTGTCATCATATGGAACACGCTTTGCTAATCCATTTGTACTAGGAGAAGGACAAAGGGACTCTACTGCTACACTTCTGAACTTCTTACAGCACATGCCTGAGTGAATATAGGCTTATATCATATGATTGGTATTTTGAGCTATATACAATTTGTGTTTTGATATGCAAAACAGTCTATAAAAAGGTGTAAAAAAATCTGAAAGAAAAATTCCATCTAGCTAATTCCTCCAGTAAACCAGTAGTGCTTAAATCAACTTTGTATAAATGGCATAATTTGAGTCAAGTAATAAAAGAGCAATACATTCTTATCATATACCTTTCCTGATCTTTTAATGTTAACATTTACTCAAAAATCCTTGTGAATAGCTTTCACAAACATTTCTAAAAGGCATAGTTCACTCAAAAATCTAAATTCTGTCATCATCTTCTCATCCTCTTGCCATACCAAAACTGAATGACTGAATGAAACACAGAGGATAAAAAAATATTTTGATAAATGTGTTTCTTTGTCCATACAATGGAAGTCAATGGTTTGGCCGTAGAAGAAAGTCAGTCATACAGATTTGAAACAACATGAGGGTGAGTAAATAATGACCACATTTTCATTTATGGGTGGACTATTGCTTTAAACCTCCAGAATTGAAATTTGTAATGCTTCCGTGCAGTGTTTGCTTAATGAGTAATCATTATGAGGGTTCAGACACTGAAGGGCTCTTACCCTCTCCAAGAGGATCCAGTGTGTGAATCATCAGTTGGAAGATGGTGTTCCTCATGGTGCTGTTGTGCAGAGAGGCAGAACTGCCCCCGCGCTGCAAAGTGGGCTTCAGCTACACAAGACAGGAGAAATATGATCGTGTCGAAAGAATTTATATCTGAACCTGCAAATACTGTTTGCCAAGTGGACTTCAGATAGAATAAAAATCATATAAATATGGTATTTAAGTAACAGTATGTTATTAAGTATATTACTTGATTTAATAATCCCATATTCATTTGACAGGACATGTCAAATTTATCCAATCTTTTCAAGACTATCATGTGTGTATCTGTTGTGTTTTCTTTTTAAAGTTGATGTGTGTCTTTTTTTTAATTGTTAAAATGCTTCCTCATATCTTAGCTTGACTCCTATTAAAAAAAAACATTTGAAGGGCTGATTTCCCAGAAAATTTCAAATATGTTGGCTATTAAAACACTGCTATGTTCACTGGCGAGTTTGGGTCAGTACTCCACTGTTTGGAAACAGACATTATTTTTGTAGTTCCATTTGGTGACAATAGTGCCAGATAAATCACACCCTTTGCCTTTTACAAAGGATTTTGAATCTAGACCTATTGACATATTTACATACTGTATGTTATTTATACATTAACGTGTATTTGCAAATTTTTGATTACCTTTAATCGATCCGTGTCTTCTGGTTTAGGCGGCCTGTTCTCTTCACCCGAAGTCCCGTTGTCCTGTGTGCAAAAACAGTTTGAAACATTACAGAGGATGCAAGGCACTGATTTGACCTTTGACTTTCACTTCTAATTCTACTGTTTTCATTCACGTGCCCTCAAAGACTAAAAGAGGATGTACCATACACGTTTATTAATATTGTGAATTGGCTTTTATTTTTTCTATTTTCAGTTTTCATTTTAATTTTAGTTTGTTTTATTAATTTTGTTGTCTTTTGCCATATTTGAGTGCTTCAAACTGGAACTTATTTTATTTCAGTTAATTGCCAAGGCAACATTTCTAATTTTATCTTTTTTGTTATGTTTTCTTGTCAAGTTTTTCATCTAATATTTAAATTGTATTTTATGTCAGCTTTATTTATTGCAAAAATTATTTGTAATAGTTTACAAAAACAACGTAAGTGAGCAACCAAATATATAAAATATATGAAATTCTCTATTTTATCGTTACCGCTGTACTTGTTACTTATAAATTCAATCCAGTGGGTTTAGTTTGACAGAGATCTAGGTCCTCTGGGTCTAGTAAGCCTTCTTACACTATATAAGCTTCAATCACACTCATCAGATTTGAACACTCTATGTGTTACACAGTTTGTACATCACAGCAGACCCATAGGATTAAGTGAACGTCTTTGGATCAGAGAGCCACAGTGTTAACAGATATAAGATAGTATTATTTTGATCACATAATAATATCCCTCCACTTATTAATATGTTTTTTACAGCATGAGACACATTTACAATAACCCATAGACTGTTTGTTACTGCAGCTTAAAGTCTCCTTCTCAGGTGAGTGTGATCACAGAGATGTTATGACAGATTATCAAGTGTTGATCTCTCTAAACCTCCCAGCTTCTAAGCTGAGGGATGTTCAGGATGAAGAAAGGAACTTGTGAAAATGACCACACCATTTCTCTATGTGATGTGATAGTGTCACTAAATCAGATAGGGCTGTCACTGTGAGCCAAATGCACCTGCTCCAAATACCTCGCCTGCTGCAAGACAACTCATTAACAATGTCTGGCCCCAGCAGACACAAGCGATCCTTTTCATTTCTGTTTATCAAAGGAAAACGAAAACCCATGCGTATCTGTTCAATGAATAAACATAAGTGACTCACATTCACCTGAGTGGGATGCTATTATATCTCTGCTATCACGTCCATGAGCAGATATTATAGTGGTTCCTCATCAATAGAAGATATACCACGGCAGAATTCATCAACACTGTCCAAAACAGAAATAAATGTTTCTGTGATAAATATGATTAAAATGCTATGCAAATTACTAACATGCAATGCATGTTTTTGAAGCAAAAATGGTAGAGCGTGGTGCTATTAATGCGCAAGGTTTTGGGTTTGAATCCCAGTACTGATAAAATGTGTATTAAACACACACTTTGGATAAAAGTGTCTCCTAAATGAATAAATGTAAATAGTGTGACCAGCAATGAATTTTCAGCAGGAGATTTTTTTTTTATTGCAATTTACAGTAGCACTTTATTTTACAGTCCCAGTTGTGCATGTGCATACTATGTCTTATTATAGCATTTACAATAACTGGGTTATGACTGGATACTAAACCTGAACCTACTCCTAACCTTAACCCATATAGTTACCTTATTTTATAGTACTTTCTTGGGTAAGTACACTGTAATTACAAGTAGCTACTGTAAAATAAAGGGTTACCCAATTTACAAATACAATGACCTCTTTTATTATGAGCATGTTTGTCATTTCTGAATTAAAATGAATTGAAAAGAAAACCTAGTAGTAGTTTGACTTAATCTTTTATTATTATTCCAGTAATATACTGTATATGTATCAATGGGCGGGAGATTAGGACAATAGTATAGCCAGCGTAGCCACCCGCACTACGTACAGAGAAATTTGGCTGAGAAGTTAGCCAGGGGGCCCAGAAACCGCAAGGGTACCCCTGGAGACCAGCATGGGACGCTGGTTTGCTGGTCCCCAGCATGGGTAGCGGGAGCTCTAGTGGACCAGCTACACCACCTCAGTTTAGCTTGAGAACAGCATGATATGCTAGTCCACCGGCACTATACCAGCTCTAACCAGCCTGGACCAACATGAAATTCATGCTAGTTCATGCTTGATTTTTCAGCAGGGTTCTGTGCCATTGACCCAAATAACACACCCAAAGACTAATTCTAATTCTATATATTATTGGCAAAAGTAATGAAGCGTACCTTCTCAGGTTCTTCCACAGCGATGACTTTCACAATGTTCTTGTGTTTCATGAGCTGATATTTAAAGGCGCGCTCTATCTGAACATTGTACTTCATGAAAGTAACATAGAGAGCATAACCGCTCACCAGCATCATACTCTCCCACCACATAATGGTGTTGTCCAAGAAGAAGATGATGAGCATGATGAGATCGATGATGTAGAACGACACGTCCCGAAAGAGAGGCCACCAGGTAAGGTAAAGCATCTCCCGGGAAAACAGCGCACACATTCCGATCACAAATAGGATGTTAAAGACAGCCGAGCCAACAATGGTTCCAATGCCCACATTGCTATGAGAAATGAAGACACCGATCAAGGAAGTGAAAAGTTCGGGAGCAGAGCCTCCAGCGGCCATAAAGGTCGCCCCGGCCACATCATCTGAGATCGCCAGTTTGTCTGTGATAACCCCCAACGTAGGGACGAAAAACTCATCGCAGACAATGGCCAAAGAAACAAACATGTATATCATTCCAAAGATGTGGAGCGAGACCCAGCCTCTGCGTCGCTCCTCAACGGAGAAGATGTCCACCGGGTACTCGCCCTTTATGTGTGGTGCTTCTCCAGGGCTGGATGCTGTAGTGTTGGGCACCAGAGTGGTCGTATCAGTTTCTGGAGTAGGAACTGGGGTGGGTTTTGGAAGGTTTGGATCCACATAAATGCAGTGGACAATTGTCCTGTTTGTGGTTGTTGTAGGCTTCTCTGTTGTAGATGTTGTTTGGATGGGTCTATTTGTTGCTGTCTCTGACGGCTGGGCCACATCTGTGTGGTTGGTGTTCTTTGGCTCAACATTGGTCAAATTAGTCATAACCTCTGGCATCTCCAACAGTCCTGCATCCAGAGCAAGTCCAGAGCCATCCTCAGGGTCTCCTGCTCTCTGGGGCTCGGGCCAGGGGTCTGGAAGTCTGGCTCTGATAGTGAGTTGATATAAAGAGCAAAGGAAAACCCCAGACAGAAGAAATATAATCCGGCTGAGCTGAAGTCTCTTTCTTCGAGTCAGGAACATTTTCTAGTATGTTTCCTAAAGGGCACTGAGTTGTTTTTTAGGGCAATGACGCCCAGAACATCCAGAATTTCGCCCCAAAAGATGCAGGGGTATGCAGGGGTATATCTCTCTCAGACTGTTTCATCTCATTTTCTCCGTGGTCCAGGTTTACTCTCACTGACCTTACAGTAGATAAAAGGAGGAATACTGAGTGCAACAGTTGTACAGACAACACTGAATTACTGATTACTGAATTACTGATCAGCAGATTACTGTGGCTATTACAGTTTCTTCTAATACATGTATCTCATCTAACCAACACATTGCATTGGATAAACAATATCTTAACAACTCTAGCTTTTCGAAAAATAAATTACGTTGTCAAAGGCACTCATGTGAATTGTTTAAAATGTAAATCAAATTTCTGAAGATTGACAAAAAGGCTACTGAAAGTAGTAAATTGCCCTTACATCATCAGTTATTTAACCTTTTATACATTTCATTCATTATCTATCTATCTATCTATCTATCTATCTATCTATCTATCTATCTATCTATCTATCTATCTATCTATCTATCTATCGGTATATCTATTTCACATAACTGAGTGGAGCACTGCATGGTTTAAATGGTAAGGAAAAACGCCATAAAAATACAAAAAAAAGTGCCCCTGTAAATCAGTTCCAATAGATAAATATTGTCCCTTAATAATAATAATAATAACTTGACACTGCGTCTAAGTTAATTTTTAGAAAAGCATTTCTTTAAAAAAATTCGTATCATGGAAAATATCCGTCTCATTTATATTATAGTTTCTGTCCACCGTTAATAAGAATAGCACTGTCATTGCAAGAAGCAGCATAAAAACAATAAACAATTGTAAAAACAGTAGCATGAACACTGAAATGTAGCCTAAAGTGTGACAGTTTGGTGGCAGCGGGTAGCCTATTTTTATATCAGCATTGGGCTATAAAAATCCTAATATGGATAAATGAACCATATTAACAATTTAAATTAAAACTTCATCTAGCTACTGTAAAAAATAATAGTAGCCTAATTGAGAACACGCTAAAGAAACCTACCGGTGTAAAAGCGAGGCTCGCGCGGGGAGTTGAGCGCTGCTGTCTCACAGCTGGGCTGCAGGGAAAGGCACGGATGCTGTGAAGCTGCTACAGGTCAAGCAGGACGCACCGCAGGACAGCTCTTCAGCGTGGATCAGCACAATACCTAATACCTGGAGTCTGTTAAGAGGATTAGATGTACTCTCTCCACTCACTCTCATTAGGCCTATGTCTTGAACCATTATCCCAATTATTTAGCTTATATACTTCATAATGGTAAAGAGTGAATACACGTGAAAATTGGTTAATTAAAAATACAAACTAAAGTCTAAACCAGCTTTTGGAGAATATTGTATTATTACATAATTATGATTATAGATTATGGATTAGCAGCTACAGATTAGTAATAAATGAGCCCTCAAGATTTTAAATCGAGTTTTAACCGTTTTTTTATCCACGGCATGATCCTAGATTTGTAGGTTTCTGTATAGGCTATCACCTGAATTTTTCTTTATTTTTTTATCCTTTATTTTAAGAGAGATTTTATTGTAGGATACAACTTTTAAAAATCCCTTTCTCGAGCGCGTTCCTGGTTAGGAACGAGTTGGCGTGTTTCTTTTGTTTCCAAACGGTCCGTTTATCACGGCGCACACTTGGTTAGGAAGAAGGGATTTTCAGCGATGGGTAAAAATTTTACCATTTTATTGAAATATGCTTAACTGGGTATTGTACGAGCTGTATTTGGAAATGTGAAGGACATATTATTAAGACTTTTAAGATCATTTGATGTTTTTCTTTTTATATTTAAACGAGAACGTTTGGTTGGACACTGACAGTAACACTCAACAGCTTTATGTACTTTGATTGCTCTGTTACATGGGGAAATTATTTTTAAAAAGTATCTTAGTTGGTCTCCCAGCTCTCCCAGGCTAGTTTTAGAGGTGTTTTGGATACTGTAAACTGGTCAGATTGGGGGACTAGCTAGACCAGTTTAAATCAGCAAAGACGTGCAAAACAGCAAAGAGTGTAACTTAACCATTACAAAATCAGAAAATGATTTTATGTGTGTGTGTGTGGGTGTGTGTGTGTTTTATGTACACTGCAGCAGAAGCTTCTGTTGTCACACTAACATATGCTCCTGTTTTTACACAGACATCTCAAGCATACATTCATAACTGTTTACGTGTAAAGAGAAGAGTTTGCAAACATGCCTACTGTGGTTCTTTTGGACTCGTCGCTGTCCATGACACGACCGGTGTCAGTGGAGGGCAGTGAAGAGTTTCAGAGAAAGAACCTGGCAGTTCATGGACTGACCATGCTGTTTGAACACATGGCCACAAACTACAGAATGGAGTTCACTTCACTTATCGCCTTCTCCTCGCTCTGGGAGCTTATGGTGCCATTCACTAGAGACTACAATACTCTGCAGGTAAAAACAGAACAGGTGTTATGCTGCCTGCATTAAATATAATGTAAATGCAATGTCTTAAACCTAATTCATCATCAGAGCCCTTATGATCTGATCTGTTGTTGGGGGTCTTATTGTTATCTCTCATTCATTGTTGTCCAGGAAGCTTTGAACAACCTTGAAGACTATGATAAAACCTGTTTGGAGGCTGCATTACAAGGTGTTAGTAATGTAGTACAGCAGGAGTGGGGAACCGCTTGCCCATGCCAGGTAAAAAAAAAATCCAATTATTAAAAATACTATATATTATGGCATGTGCAATATGTTAATCAGGCATATACACTTACATATACACTACTTGTTAAAAGTTTGCAATAACAACAAATGTTTTCGAAAATCTCTAATGCACAGCAAGGCTGCAATTTTTAAGATTAAAAATACAGTACAAACATTAATATTAATCAAATGTAAAAGAACTGTTTGTATTCTTAAATATTTTAAAATACAATTTATTCCTGTGATGGCAAAGCTGAATTTTCAGCATCAATGCTCCAGTCTTCAGTGTCTCATGATCCTTCAGAAATCATTATAATATGCTGATTTGCTGCTTAAGAAACATTTCTAATTATTATCAATGTTAAAAACTATGCTAATGCTAAATAATTTTGTGAAAAAGCAAGAAGAAAAAGCAAAATAAAGATGCTGTTCTTTTAAACATTCTATTCATAAAAAAACTACTAGTATACATATTGGAATAACAACCAGGACCAGAATAAATACAGTATGAAATACACATTGTTATGTAAAATATTGTATGGACTGTACACAATACAATGAATGTAGTATATACAAAAATGTAAGTTGAAAATATAAATGTACTGCTCAAAGTCGATCATGTTATTCGTCAGCACTATGACTGATTGATCTGTTCAGTAAATGTTAGGAATGATTTTTTTATAATGGTTGGTAGAGTATCATGGTAGTGGTGCACATAAGCACTTTAGGTGGGGGTCTAAACATTAAACATTACATTTTTGAATATACAGTAGAATAATTGTACCATTGAATTTATCTAACGACCATTTTTATATATAATGCTAAATGTACTAAATAATTGCTTTGACTGCAGTGTTTATGTTGTTTTTATGCTGGCCTGTAGGTGGTGCTGGTCACTGATGGTGCACTGGGCATTGGTCGTGGATCTTTGCGTAACTCCCTGCAAACAGTGAAACAACGTGTGGAGGACAAGAAATTCCCACTTCCTTTCCCATTCCCTTCCAAATTCTATGTCATGTGCATTGCCAATGCAGAGGAGGTACTTCAGTCTTTTTGCACTGTGTCCTTACCAGTGTTATTTTAGTCTCATTCAGAAACAAGATTGGTGCCAGTATGATGTAAATTTGTAGGCCAAAATGCTGAAACGAGTTCGCATTTGAGCACTTCCGGTTCCAACGTCCCGAAGTCAATGGGTTTTTGGGTCTTTGGTTAAATGGCTGAAATAAGGTCTGTGGTGAAGACAAGCTCAAGACACTTTCACGTTTTATTCTACGAAATAAAATACATCAGTATTACCCCACTTGTGATTTTTTTTAAGCTGTTAAATGTCTTGAAAAAGGCGATTGCTAACAAGTGGCTAAATGGGACTACAGAAGCAGTTGGGTATATAAAACGTCACTAAGAGATAAGATAAGATCAGTCAGCTTTTACATTCTTGTTATGCTTATTATATTATAATTGTGTTCTTGTAAACGATTCTAACTCAAACTTTGTTTGAAAATGTTTCTTAGAAAAAAACTGAAAGAGTTGTCTGAAGTTTAGTGATGGTGACGTTGAAGTCGCACGACCGTGGTGTAGTTTGTTTATAGCCTAGCTTTAGCTTTTTGCTTCTGGCAACTGCAATTAGGCTTCAAAAATCATAAAAGTTGTTCATCTGTGAAAATGATCTTGATGTCATGTGACGTCATACCGGCACCACTCTATTATAGTTTTTATTAAAGGTAGGGTAGGCAATTTTGGAGAGGCTAGCAATAGCAAGCTAGCTTTGAATTCCTAAGATCCCATCCCTTCAGAGCCACACCTCCTCCAAAACACATGAATGCACACAGCCAGAGCAGAGTCTGCAAAGCGTCACGAGAGACGGCGTTAAATTACTTTGCCTCAAAGCATAAAACATTACAATAATAATGAACGTAAACAACTTTTAAACGACTTTTACCACCTGACTGCTGCAAATTCATCTCGGCATTCATTGTGTTAGTCATAGAAATGCATAATTCAGAGTCTGAGGATCTCGGGTTGCCATCTCTTCATCTCAGGAGGAATTGTAAAAGGTGGCTGCTGTTTGTTTGCGGCGCTCTGTGATTGTCTGTCTATGACCCTGACTGCTGAACATTTTTGGTCCTTAGACTTCCACAAAATATATAGTAATTTTTTTAATATTTAGACAACTTCTATTATTGACCGCTATCAGAATGTGAAGAGTTTCAACCAGTATGACAAAAAGTGTTAAGAAAAACATTGCCTGCCCTACCTTTAAAATTTTTAATTAGTTTTTATTTTTTACCATTTCTATTTTAATTTTAGTTTTTTTTATTGAGTTTTATTTAATTGAGTCATTTTACATTGTATTAAAAAAGTTA